CATCGAGACGCACAAGAAACACATTATGACATTTAGATACCATTAAAACATATTGATAAGACAAGAGAATAGAAAATACAAACACGCTAAAATAGAATAAGGCAAGGGTCTTTAATAAGTACAACATATCACAAGACCTATCTTGTATAGTAAAGATGGGCCACTTGAAAAGGTGAGGCAGTTCACTAGATTTGGGTTTTATCAGCAGTTTTGTAAACAAGACAAGAAGCATTAAAACACCACGGCGACGTCAGACTAAATACAGAAGAATGAAACTGCAAATAGGGAAAAATGAACATATCGGCCACAATGTTGAATAAACTGATTATGAGACACGGCACCTAAATCTTGAGCACTCAACCAAATAATTGACTGAAGTGATCATTAATGCTGTAAGACTTCAAATACCCAGTCAAAGTTAATGTACAAGGTAATGATCCTTCAATGATTGCACGTTTTGACTAAATCTTTGCACTCTAAATGTTCATGTACTTTACATAATTGACTCATTACAAACCCTCGGTGCAGGGGTTAGTTTTATGACTCTTAACATGTTAAACACTCTATAGCAGGAGGGATTGCGGTAGGTGCCTGCATAATGCAGTCAGTAGCTCTTCTATGACTCATTACAGACATTTAACATGTGAAACATATCTATGAGCTCTGCTTGATGGGAAGAGAGTCTTGCAGCATTTGTTTGAGGTGAAAGTGTGACACTCCACTGGTGGAGAGCTTTGCCGAGTCTCTGAGGCAGCTGTGAGAGAACAACATGGGGCATGCTGCAGAATTATCGGTGTCCTGAGAGGGTTAGGCTGCTCAGCGAGATCAAAGGATAAGGAGGGCATGAGGGACTAGGGGAGACTCTAAGGGAGACTTGTCTTTTATACGTGAATGAAAGAGATGTAAAACTGACATTGATTAATGTGGAAAGGAGCGGTAAGGTAGAGCGGGGACCTATCTCATAGGCTCCTTATTTCTCCTGCATATTAATGATGTGGGCACAGCAGGAAACACAGCAATGCAGATAAACCAAGCGTGTGCTTTGCTTTTTCATCCAAGCATCTATTCCTTAAACCGCTTATCCTGTTCATGGTTGCAGGAGGCTGGAGCCTTTCCCACCATGCATTGTGTTAGAAATGGTGCATTTTTTTTGTATGATGAAAATAAATACAACAAGAGCAATATCTCGGGTATTTCCTGCAGGCATTACATACCAGTGCTGACCAGGTAGAGGTACTGTTAAGACATGAATGGTGTAATTTATACACTTATAAAATAACATGCTCTCTTTAAAACCCAATTTGGATTAAAAAAAGTTTTTTTTTACCCTAAAGTAGAAGTCCAATCGATTATTCAGTTAGTTGATCGACAGCAGCTTTGATAAAAAAAAAGTATTTGTTTGCGATTCATGAAGAAAAAAAGCCAAACATTTGCTGATTCATTTGGCCTTTTTATTGGAAAAAACAAGTAACTTGAAGACATTATCGTTGGTTCTAGGACATTGTGATTGACGTCTTTCACTGTTTTTGATATTTTAAAGTCTCAATAAATATCCATTTGAATTGAAATTCTTTTTTTTTTTACAGATTAATCAATAATGAAAATAATTGCAAACCCTAAAAAGACCTAAAAATCGAATAGCACCTTTAGCTGTCAATTCATATAAGACGTAATGTCAAATTGTAAGATGAACTAAAATAAAGAAGAGCAGCACGCAGCGCCAGTGTCAGATTAATTTAAGAGGCAGCACAAATGTTTTGGCAGGAAAGAACTGGATGGCCTCTGGCCAATCGCAAGATGAAAAAATGGTCAAAGGTCTAAGCCCACACACACTGTCACAAAATGTCTTGTGTGACACCTCGGAGGGGAAGACACCCACACGTTGCTTCACATTTTACTTCTGCTTAATCTTAATGGATTTCTCTGAAAGCAAAATGCCCGCCTGGAAAAATGTGTGTGAGAGAGCCAACATGCCAATGAGCAGGGAGCTAGAGAGTGAGACGGAGGGGGGGAAAGGGAAATGGTCTTATGGAGAAGAGACAATACAAAGTTAGTGTGGGTGGCCTGCCAAGCCTGAAAGAGAAATATCACTCTCACTCCCATTCTGGCTCACAAGATTCCCTATGGCATAAGCATGTAGGCCAAACTGTGACAATCTCTGTCCAATCAATGCCCTGTGGCCCTTAATTACTGAGCCGTAACCTCCAACAATAATTCATGCATTTCAAAAGCTCGAAGATAATCGGGGGCATTAAAACTCCTCTGATCTGCAGCAAGAGCTAGAGATGTAGTAAATGAAAGATGGCTAACAGAAGGAGACCTTTGCTGATTTGGGAGATAGCACTCTTTCAGATTGAAGTGGCTTTTTGCTTGCACTTGAAGAGGACAGATGTTGCATAAAGAATGACTGATCTGTCACTAAATGTTTGGTAATGCGTCGCTGGAACCTACATGTCCAAAAACCCTTACTAGAAGCATGAACGAAGAAGAATCTTTACATCAACTTGGGCCACTACGCTGACAGTGGATCACGCTGTTAACATGTATGCAAACTGAATAATTTGTCAACGGTTCTGAGCCAGAAAATGTGAAAATATTTCCACATGACTACTTTATATTATATCTTATACCAATAAAAATAACGCTTAATGACACACGACAGGTAGCATTGTGAATAAGGGTAATTATGGTAATTATAAAATACAATAGGTGTTTTCCTGGTGTCACCTTGTTCCATTCAGTATTTGGGCACTGTATACGTTTTACTCAAAAAGATGAATCATTCCTTTACACCATATATTTTAATTTAAGGTTTTACTGTATTTTACTGCCTGTCTGTGACATGCTACTTTTACAAAAACAACTTAGATCATTAGATCTGTACTCAGTGTCGGCCTATACCCAAAGCTCAGGTACCCTAATCAGGACTGGAAAAGCAGAAACTACATTTGATGAAATCAACACATTTTGGTTCATAACTTCCAAAATGAGTAACTTAATCCTTACAAAAAAATAAATAAAAATGACATCCATGTATTTCTTACATTGTTTCTACAGTCCCTGATTAAGCCCACATCAAGTTTTGTTCACATTTTTTATTTTTCGCAATATCCCCCAAAAAAGAGAAACACATTTTTGAACTAGTTGTCATTTTCTTTTTGACCTGGTTCTGATTTATTAAGTACAACTTTGTACTATGTACTATGCCAAATAACTGTGCCTTGTATTTTGTACAGTGTCAATTTAGAAAAGCTTCTTGGCTTTCCAAAACATCCTAACAAGTTTGACGTGCATATTTATAAAACCAACATTATTAACAACTTTGAACACAATTGGATTCATCCTCTGGGCACCATAGATATCTCTACCACATGTCATGGTAATCCATCTAATAGCTTATGAAATATCGTACTTACCACAATAGGAGCTATTTCACATTTGTTTGCTAAATATGATGGGAAACAGCTCCACACACCATCAGGTAATTTTGCACCCACAATTAAAGCATTTATTTAAAAAATGAAACTAGCACATTCCCCACTGTGTGCTTATTAACTCGCGGAGCTTAATTAATAATTACATTTGGCATGTTTATAAATATATGCGGCTCTATCATTAGCTCATCCCTGGTAATTAGTCTACTATTAATCTCCACTGAACTCACCTGCTTTTTATAATCTCTTCTGCAGATAGAGCAGAGTTGCATTGAGACGGCTTTCCGATTTTGAGGCTCGTGAGGAGAAAGGAGGAGTTGGGATTGGCATGTTGTATTTCCCTCTAAGGCCCCCCACCTCCTCACAGCAATTAACAATCACAAAAACCTATGGAACACCCTGGGCCGGGATTAGTGAACTCCTATCACAAGTTATTACATTGAGCCTATGAGGGGATTATCCCTGTCCTGTGAATGGATGTCTCCATTTCCTGGGTCTCTGATTTCTCACTGACTTAATTCACAGTCGGACACTCAGTCAAGCAGGTCAGGATTCCATCACAATGGAACATGTATCCATTTTTTTAAAGTTGCTAATGAAAAATGGCACGAGGCATATACTGTGAGTAATGGCTAATGGAATAGACATGTAGGTCCGAGTCCTAATGTGTGCAGAATCACTCAGAGGGAAATCCATGTATTCCTGCTGGAGAGACGAGAACGAGTTTTTGTTTTTTAACTGATGAGATTTCCCGGGAGGAGAAAACCTTGCACTCCAGATATTGGAATTGATTTGCTCCTCTGCAGCGGCCCAGATATTTACCTTCTAGCTAATTGCCAGAGGCAAGACCCATTCAGTGTAGAAAGAATAAGACTCACCGAGGACCAATGCCTTTTCTTCTACAGCATTGCTTTTGGACTGATGCCACACCCTCCATTTAAAAGGTTCATCTCAGTGCAAGTGCACGGAATTGTCCTGTCCAGCAGGAGCTACTCTCCAAAGTGGGTGTGACGCACGGGTAGAAGTGTCGAAAAGATAGGTTTTAGTGACTGTTGTATAAACACAAGTAGTATCTTCAAGTTATTCTGTAATGGAGTTTCTAGATGGATCTCTTCAAAAATGTTTTTTTGCTACCTTTATGGATATTAGTTGTCTGGGACAAGCACTATATATGCGATTCATCATCAGCCTACTTCAAACAAGGGTCAGAGACAAACTCGCACGTAGATAATTCTTTAAGCTGTACCCGTTCATTGAAACCACTTGAGTCCTTAAGTGAACACATTTTTCTTGATTGCATTGCATGATGTGGCTGATAGAATTACTGATGGAGTATTTCAAATACACTTGTGAAATCCTTTTCAGTCTCCCTCTGGATTGTTGAACTACATGGATACAAATGTGGGACTCAACCTCACACTTGACATGGTTCACTATGAGCTAAACAAGTGACCACACAGGATGCATTACCCGTGATTTAACTGCATGTAAGCAATTTGTAAAATCACACACACATACGGTATCATAATGCATGATGCCTGACTTACAACTTTCCGTGTCTTACAGATCAAGAGCGGATAGGAAAGGACTCGAACTATGAGCAGGAAGGAAAGGTGCAGTTTGTTATTGATGCCGTCTATGCGATGGCTCATGCCCTGCACGGTATGCACCAGGAGCTCTGCCCAGGGAAGGTGGGCCTCTGCGCTAAAATGGATCCCATCAATGGCACTCATCTGCTGAAGCACATCCGCCGTCTAAACTTTTCAGGTCAGTCACATTTATTGATAGTGGAGTGCATCGTTTGTCTCAACTTAAGAGGCATTGTTACCTGAGCTTTTTAAGGCGCTCAAGTCAGTTCAGTTTGTGGTAGTACATTAATGATACAGTGAATGTACAGTTGATAATCAAGGTGGCTCAAAATCAGATCTTAAATGTTTTACCATTATGGGAAAACAAGAGTAAGAGTCTGCAGCCACGTTAGCCTTCCTATAATGCTGCACTACGTATAGGCATAACAATGAAAATGCTAACATGTGCTTGTTAAGCATTTATCACGTTCACCATCTCAGTTTACCTTTCAAAATACCATTTGAATTTAAATATAGTCGTGCTGCAGAGATGTCCTGGCCTCCACATCATAGTCTACAGACGTAAGAAAACATCTTAATCATTTGAATATGTTTTGCATTGAAAATGAGAACAATGATGTAAGAAATGATCATTCCCTCTAATACTGCAAATCATATCACAATTGCACTATCAAAATAATCCCAAATAGATATTTCTTTATTCATTTGTTTGTCATTCAACCGTAGCAAAAAATATTTTACATTTCTTTATAATTTCATTATATTGTAGAAAGGGCTAATTTCTCGTATTACAATAACTTTGTTCAGCTGGCAACACCAGAGGTCATAAATGTACTAACCTAATGTATATAATGTGCTTTACATTACCTTGAGGGTGTTGGAAAGCATCTCTGGCTCAATCAGACAAACGTCATCAATGTAGACGTCATCAACATCTCATGTGTCACAAACCAGCACCGTAGTTACTTTATGCTGTCTTATGAACCATTTTCCATTTCCTCCATGTAGCCTTACGTTATACCCGACTATCAGTCAAGTTCGCAGTCATGACTGACGTATTAATAATTAACTGCTTTGACAAAAAGAGCAGTGGTCCTTAGTTTCATTATATAGACGCTGAAGCAGTTTAAGACAATTAAAATTCCCTCTCAGAGACTTGAGTATGCAGTGTTTGTACAGATCAATTACTCACTTGAACTCCTGCTCTTCAAGCTAATTTGCCATTCTAATATCTACTTGTTGCATTGGTAAAATGTCAATTTAATGTTTAATTCATATCTGAGAAGTAAAAGAAAGTATTTCTTTAAAAATATTGAATGGGCGATTATGAAAGCTATTGCGTCTCAAAAGATCAGTGTGTGTGTGTGTGTGTGTGTGTGTGTGTGTGTGTATATATACTGAGTATATGGGAATTTTCTTAAAGTCCAAACAAACCTCTCTTCCACATGATACTCAACATTTGTTCAGATCAAAGTAAAGCCTCAGAGTAAATCAGGTAGAAAGAGTAAGTACTCGTCTTCAACAACAACCACCATTCAGATGCCCTTAACCTCCAACTTCACCAGCTGAGCTGCTGAGAATCCAATAGCATACGGGAGAAAAAAGAACTGATGTGCTGTTGTTCACAACAGGCAGTATGTTGGGTTCACTGGTTCTCATGATCTGTTGTAACAAAGCGTCTCTTTTTCCCAGAGAAAACTGCTGAAACCATGCATGATGGTCTCTGTCTCGATAAATGAGGTGTATACCGTCTACGAAGCTTATTTTCAATTCACATACACAGTACAAAATACTGCTCGAGGAGCAGTATTTGTTTGATTTATTTCATCTATATATTATTTTGTTTTTACACAACTGAGCCTGGCACAAGTTCAGAGTTTTCAGTTGAAAATGCAACCCCTCTGGGGAAACATGGCAGCTTTTTTCCCTCCCTTTTATTACTGATGTTTGATTTCTTCTGCGAGGAATGTTCGGAGTTTTGGACAAACTAAAACAAGATATTGCAAAAATATTTTTGTTAATAAGTAAATAAAAAAGACGACATACAGTTCGTGCATAATGGATTTAAATAGTCAAAATAGTAAACAATACAGATATTACAAGAGCACCGGGTATTTGATGCAAGAATTGAAATCGCTATCTAATTTAAATGTGTAGATCGGAATTGCATCCATGACAGAAATCAACATTCATTCAATATTAAATGCCCAGTGAGTGAGTGGTGCCTTGTTATAAAGTGCTCATCCATTTTTAGCCTGCTAGCAGGGACATGAAGCTCCAGTGCAGTAGATCCTTTGAGCTTTGATGTGAGCAGAGGCTGCCTTTTACACTACACTCCATACAACTGCATCAGCATGCTTCATTATATTGAGCTTGTCCAGATACATAAAATAACCTGCTGATATTGGACTTGCTCGATTGTGAATTCTATTTTTCTGTGTTGTGGTGTTAGTATGTAATGCACCAGTAAACACAATCATCCCTTTTTTTTTTCTCACAAACGAATGGCAATCGCAAGAAATGCATGTAAAAGTAGGTCATTTTGTTTTGTTATTGTGATGAGTCATTCTTGAGGCTGAGCCAGCAAGAATCTATTGTTACACATTTCTGTTTATTCTCAGTAGTTTTAGCGGATATCTGCTAAGAATAATTCATATTTCTAACTCTGCAAAAGCTGCACAGCCCTCAAGACTCCAGTTAGACTACGTCCATAGCAAATGCATCGTGTCTTAGGTTGAATATCAAATGAAACTCTGTTGATAAAGGTCAAATGTCAAAGAGCTTTTTTTTTTCCTTTTTTTTTTAAACCAAAGGTGCTTATAGTGGCCATACACCTGGCACGCTCACAAAACCATTTATCTATAGTATCTCAGTGGGCTGTCAGGGTCTCAACAGGAGACACAGTAAGCTAGCTCACGACAGATAACCTTTTAGAAAAGATGAAAAGTAATCTGACAGAAGCATTGGCTCCGCTGGGATATTTTCAGTAGTCTGGGATTATCTGTGTGCTTTCTCAAGAGCCTTTATATTTAAAGTACATTTACTCAAATGCTATACACTACAAAGTCTAGGTACTTGTACTTTACTTGAGTATTTCCATTTCATGCAACTTTATCCTTCTACTCCAACACATCTCTGAGACAAATATTGTACATTTATCTCAAAACATTAGTTGCTTTTGAGATTACAATTCTTCATACCCCTTTTTCTGCTGAAGGAGTTCCTTTATGGAGTAGATTATCCTACTTCTTAACCTAAGGAAATTAATTAAACGCCTTTTTTGATTACCTGGAAAATGCATCGGCAACAAGCTAAAAACAGGGCTGTTTTTCTTTTAGAGATGCGTGGACATCGCTGCTACAAACATAATGATCATTGCTGTGGTTTCGACTACCCAACGATGAATAAAGGAGTCAACCGTACTTAAAATGAGGTCAACCGTAAACATCCTCAGCAGTAAGAACGCAACATACACATTAAGGCACTAAAACACAATGTATAATAGTAAAACACTGACCATTTTACTGCATAATGAGTTATTTTATTTCAGTATGTTTTGCTGATAACACTTTTACTAAGTCATATTTTGAATGCAGGACTTCTACGTGTTGTGCAGTATTTTCACAGTGTGGTGTTAGCATTGTGACTTAGATAAAGGATCTGAACACTTCTTCCACCACTGTATGTCTATAAAGTTGTAGCTTAATTCTAAATCCTCAACTTTTCAAGCGCTCATTTGCTCACTCAGCAGCAGCCGACAAAGCAGGAGAATCAAACACCTCCGGTCTTTGTGCATTGTTTGACTGTCTTCAGAGCTTCCTCCTCTCTTGTTCTCACCTCGGCATCCGATGTGTCGAGGAGTTGCTCAGACTTCAATAAGCCGCAATTGAATGAAGCTTCTCATCAGTGTTTCATGTCTGTTGCTATCACGTCAGGGAAAAGTGCTTTTGCTCTGCCGCAGACTGAAAAGCAGTGGCCTTTTCCGCCGTCATTCTCACCAGGGACAGCTGTTTTGAGTGTGGATTAAAGTCAAGATCTGAGGGTTTCCCATCGCTGCACACCTACCTCTCTCTCCTCGAGCAAAGTCTTCATTGTTGTGCAACTAAGAAGATGCTTCTGGTGGAGAAAATGTGTTTTTGTCAATTTTCTTTCCCTTGGATGACACCCAGGCCTGTTATTCAGAAAGAATAGACTATCAGCATCTCAACATGGACAGCAATAGATACAAAGCTCATTCATCAGAGTGTAATATCCTAAAACCTGTCGGACACACACTGTAAGATGTGCAATTGCCAAAAAAAATATATAGATAAGTCTTGTAAATTCTCAAATAGTGCATAGGCCATTACTTTACTCAACAGAAGAGTGAACCCTGACGTTATTTAAAAAAAGGCTCACTTATATAAGAGGTAGGCCTTTATTTTCCAGTTTTATAAGAGTTCATCATATTTATGTTTTATTAGCAACTCCCTGTTTTGTGATCCTCCCCTCGTTTTAAAATGCTATTAAAGCATACGACCATAACGCGCAACCCCTGCCACCTCCTCAACCCTTGCTTCTCCCTCCTCCTCCAGCAGATAGAGACGACTAGTCTGTAGGGCTATGAAACATCTACAGTAAGGAGAAACTATCAGCAGCAAATTGATGGAATTAGCGCTGTGGAAATGTACAGATTATTGTGCTGAATTTACCTTATGTCCTGTATGGTTCGCCCAGTTACAGAGCACTTGTATATACAGGTGCTGGTCATATCATTAGAATATCATCAAAAAGTTGATTTATTTCACTAATTCCATTCAAAAAGTGAAACTTGTCTATTATATTCATTCATTACACACAGACATATATTTCAAATGTTTATTTCTTTTAATTTTGATGATTATAACTGACAACTAACGAAAATCCCAAATTCAGTATCTCAGAAAATTTGAATATTACTTAAGACCAATACAAAGAAAGGATTTTTAGAAATCTTGGCCAACTGAAAAGTATGAACATGAAAAGTATGAGCATGTACAGCACTCAATACTTAGTTGGGGCTCCTTTTGCCTGAATTACTGCAGCAATGCGGCGTGGCATGGAGTCGATCAGTCTGTGGCACTGCTCAGGTGTTATGAGAGCTCAGGTTGCTCTGATAGTGGCCTTCAGCTCTTCTGCATTGTTGGGTCTGGCATTTCGCATCATCCTCTTCACAATACCCCATAGATTTTCTATGGGGTTAAGGTCAGGCGAGAACAGGGATACCATGGTCCTTAAACCAGGTACTGGTTGCTTTGGCACTGTGTGCAGGTGCCAAGTCCTGTTGGAAAATGAAATCTGCATCTCCATAAAGTTGGTCAGCAGCAGGAAGCATGAAGTGCTCTAAAACTTCCTGGTATATGGCTGCGTTGACCTTGGACCTCAGAAAACACAGTGGACCAACACCAGCAGATGACATGGCACCCCAAACCATCACTGACTGTGGAAACTTTACACTGGACCTCAAGCAACGTGGATTGTGTGTCTCTCCTCTCTTCCTCCAGACTCTGGGACCCTGATTTCCAAAGGAAATGCAAAATTTACTTTCATCAGACAACATAACTTTGGACCACTCAGCAGCAGTCCAGTCCTTTTTGTCTTTAGCCCAGGCGAGACGCTTCTGACGCTGTCTGTTGTTCAAGAGTGGCTTGACACAAGGAATGCGACAGCTGAAACCCATGTCTTGCATACGTCTGTGCGTAGTGGTTCTTGAAGCACTGACTCCAGCTGCAGTCCACTCTTTCTGAATCTCCCCCACATTTTTGAATCGGTTTTGTTTCACAATCCTCTCCAGGGTGCGGTTATCACTATTGCTTCTACACTTTTTTCTACCACATCTTTTCCTTCCCTTCGCCTCTCTATTAATGTGCTTGGACACAGAGCTCTGTGAACAGCCAGCCTCTTTTGCAATGACCTTTTGTGTCTTGCCCTCCTTGTGCAAGGTGTCAATGGTCGTCTTTTGGACAACTGACAAGTCAGCAGTCTTCCCCATGATTGTGTAGCCTACAGAACTAGACTGAGGGACCATTTAAAGGCCTTCGCAGGTGTTTTGAGTTAATTAGCTGATTAGAGTGTGGCACCAGGTGTCTTCAATATTGAACCTTTTCACAATATTCTAATTTTCTGAGATACTGAATTTGGGATTTTCCTTAGTTGTCAGTTATAATCATCAAAATTAAAAGAAATAAACATTTGAAATATATCAGTCTGTGTGTAATGAATGAATATAACAGACAAGTTTCACTTTTTCAATGGAATTAGTGAAATAAATCAACTTTTTGATGATATTCTAATTATATGACCAGCACCTGTATATAGCAGAAGCTTGTGATTGAGGAAACATGCAAATGTCTTGACAGTGATGAAGCAGCAGGAAAAACACACCCTTATTTGTGTGGGTGAAGTGTATCTGTAGTAAATTCTGCATGACTTGCCTGCATACAAGTCATTAAGAGTTAATGACCGAGTAGAGGGCAGCAAGCTGTGCTGTCATTCACTAAGGTGTCCCGGTTGTGCATCCATGCGGAACGAGCACATGTTGGATTAATGATCGCATAGTCAGGTAATTCTTCAGGTGTGTGAGGAAGAGAGGGGGTGGGGCAATACAACAATCATTAAATATTACATATAATCACAAGCTCCTCATTAACCCCAACGTTTCTTTGAGAGGAGACGAGTGCTGCGGTACACGAGTGTGTGAACCCGGGCTACGCTGTCACATTAGTGCACAGCACAATGCAGTGGTGGCAGAAGCCTCTGTGGAACTCATTATGCCCCTGACTAGTGAGAGGACTGTTTAGACAAGCAATTTGTGCCACATGACAGGCCTAATTCCTCATCTGCAACTCAAACATTGACCATATGCCCCAAAATGCACCGCTCTGTTCACTCTTAATGAAGAGGACAACGCCACTGCCTCCGGAACAATGACGGCGACCCCGGGCAGTATTTCCCCACAGTGCCTTAAACGGTCAATTCATTACTGGGGTCAAAGAAGCCAGATTAGTCTTTTCCATTTGTTTTACCATTCTGGGTACCACAGGAGATGTACGATGTTCTGTGCCAGCGCACAATACCATCCGGTTATTAAAGTTGCAGTAAAGAGAACTATGAGACTTATTTGTCTGTCCTCACATAAAACTGTCTCAATCTGCCGTGTCAAGATAAATGAACACAAATTAAGTTATTTTGATTTGACACACACAGACTATAGCTGAAAACACCTAATTGGTAAAGAAGTAATGCATAGTTGATAACTACTTTAAGTGTAATATTTATTTTTAAGCTACGCTTCCCGGAACTTATTCCAACAGCGTGATACATCCTGTATTCAATTTCTGACGGTTAATGCTGTTGTTGGTGATTACCTCTTTGATTTATTTTATACTGCTGTCATTACTGTCAGACATTTCCGACACCTGATGTAGCTCAACAGAAGCTCTCGTGATATGAGCGGTGTTTGAACAGCAGTCTTCAACAACCTGTAACAAATGAAGAAGAAACAGACACACCAGTCAACCTCTTACATTACATATGCACATATACCTGTAACTTCTGTGGTCCGAAAATAAAGATTAGGCCTTTAAACTCTTACTACAAAAAGATTTTTTATGGCCACTACGTAGGAAAATCTTGGAATCACTTGCATGTTGCTTAACCTTGTGTGTGTGTGCGAAATGTGCAGCAGAAATGGGTAAATTGTGCATAATCAAACAAATAACAGCAGTAGTGAGAGAGAGAGAGAGAGAGAGAGAGAGAGAGAGAGAGAGAGAGAGAGCTGTCAATCTATGAAAGGTCTGGATTTGAAAAGCAAGCATGACAAAAAGACCCATAAAGCTATTATATACAGTATAATCATACAGTAACCACCATGGTGGTGTTTAGGGTCCATTTTCCTCTTTCAGCGTCCATGTGAGCACTTACAGGCTCGAGCACATAACCCGAACCGTGACAGCGCGTCAAAGCGCTTTTAAAAGCACAGGAAATGGTGGAAGAGAGCAAAAAGAAAAAAGCTTTGCACAACTAAAATCTCCGATAGAACATATGACAGCTTACAAATAGTGTTGATGTGCTTAATATTTTGATGTAAACATCTTGCCTCTCTGCTTTATAAAGTCACTGTAATCCTCCCATGATCACTCACCGCTTTGTGATGTGGGGGCGGCATTGTCCCAGATGCGAGGCTGAGTGAAACGGTAATGCTGTAATCCAGCGGGGCTGACTCATCGAGATGTGGATTAGGGCGCTGCATCCTTCTACCTCGAAAAACAAAAAGCAAGAACAGAAAAAAAAAAATTCTCATCAGCAGAAATCCATCAGCAGCAATTGGCCACGTTAAACTTTTTGTTCTTACTTAATAATAAAATAGCTTTCATCAGTGTTTGAAGGTATAGAGGTTTTGTGAAAGTTGAAGTTCCTTTCTTCTCCCTCTAATGAGAACCTTTCCACGTTCTACCATAATTAAATGGATCGCTTTACTGGAAGTGGGGTTCGCCTAGTTACAGAGAGATCTGTGGTGGGCTTTTCACATGAGTGGTGTGTGTGTGTGTGTGTGTGTGTGTGTGTGTGTGTGTGTGTGTGTGTTTGACAGCTCTTCTGCGGTTCGATGCCAGATATTGTTGATTTAGAACCTATGATTATCTTCAATGACATTTTTAACAACACTGCTTTCTTTCTAAAATATTTGTAATTTGCAACCACAGTATTCTTAAGGTATGGAAACTGAAATACTCAATTGAAGGTTGAGGTATGATCTAAATTGATTATCAGATTTAACTGTCTTTTTGATTTCTGTTGATGAGGGGGGATGTTTTGCTTTTGTCCAATCGGTGACAATTGATTTATCCCTTGTGCCAACATCAATTTCATTCAACACAGAAGCTGTGGGAGCGATGAGTAGGAGCAGTAATAATGTTTATGACTTTATGACCTATTTTTCATGGAGGTAACTAGGCTGATAGCTACCTGTTTAGAAAGATTATGTCGCCATTCTCAATCCCACCTACAAAGCTCTGGGTGGATTATTTCTTCTCCAACAGTCATCCACCCAAAAATATTATTATTTGAATCACCGAACAAATCTGAGATATGGGTGGTGATTATTAATAGAGCCAAACATTAATTGTTGGTCTGTGAAGGGACGTGAACTGCAATATTCGGCATGGAAATTTGTCAAACTATACCCCGTTCACCCCCCCCCAACCTCACATTTCCACATCGTAACATAACTGAGCTCTGCAAGTTGGCAATGAACATGAATCATATGCAATCAAATTGTCCAAAAGGAACATAAGTCCTCGTGACTATGCGGGATGTTCTCATTAGGACACAGTGTCAATATGTTCTCAGCCATCTTGCCAAATGAGAGAGAAAATAAAATAGTTTAGCATAATTTTGGTTTCTTAATTTAGTGGAATAATAACTGTCGTATCAATGACAACACATTAGTTTGCTCTCGTAGATTCACGCTCACTACACAGAACGAAACTCAACGATGTGAAGTAAATGATGATGATGATGATGATGACGATGATTGTTCTCTCATTTAGGCATAGCTGGAAACCCAGTGCTCTTTAATGAAAATGGAGATGCTCCTGGACGATACGAGATCTACCAATACCAGATCAGAAACCAAACAGCCGAATACAAAATAATTGGCCACTGGACGGATCAACTCCATCTCAACGTAAGCGTCGCCGTTTCCATTCCTGTTTTGTTTGTGTTAGTGTTTACTGTTAAAAGTCCTTCGCTGAAAAACAGTTTTCTCCAGCTCTGCAGCTGCGTGTTTGCTCACTGACTCCTCCCCAAACCATTTGATAGCGCTTCGTGCCATCTTCAAAGGTGTAAATATCCAGAGGGCGCTTTAAATGATTAACAGGGCGGACTGTGATGAAAAGAAAGCCATGAGAGCTTAAGGACAGACATATTTAATATCATCTCTCCAGACGGCATCACTGACTTCCAAAAAACAATACTGTGGGGGCAGGGGGTGTGATGAAGTAACGGTATTATAACCGTAAATTACATAAAGTAACCAAACAAATTCTGTTTTGACAAAATGAAGAGGAAGCCATGGGCAGCCAGAAGAGAGTACAATTGAACAAATGAAGCAGCTTGAGAGGAGCTTTTTGCCTTTTTTTACCTCTTTCAACATCATGTGAAAAAGCAACGTCTGTGGTGGGCACCTACTGTGGAATGCGCCAGTTCTGACTCTTAAAGCCGTATTTAATTAGTGTTCTTTGAGTTCTTAATTAAATACACATTTAGAGACACATTTACCGGCTTTGAATGAACAGCCACAATTGAATAAAATTGATAACATAACATCAAAGAGAGCGGGACACGTTTGAAATTACGTATTTAATTTATCTGCACAAGTATGCTTGTACAGGGGGAAAATCCACAAGGGGGGTAGTATCCTGAAATGGAATTAATCATTTTTTCTTCTGATCCTAGACAGCAGAGGATTGTTTTTTTTTAACTCAAACAACAATTTACAAAAGAGAGGCACTGTCAGTTCCCTGCAGGCCTGCAGTTTCCTTTTGTGTCTTACCTTTTGGATAATTTGAACTCCAACTGGAAGACATTTAACCCCTAGTTTGCCCTTTCCCACCCCACACCCAAATAAATACATAAAACCAAGTATCATGGGAGCATACAGAATGGTACTCCGGGCCAGGTTCAAACTCCCACACAGCAAGTAGCAACCGGTTAGATTTTCCTTGACCTCCAGGTGTGGTTTGGGATCTTTTTGGGGGGGACGGGGGGATCAATACAGCATCACTTTCTCTACATGACAACATTTGAAAGGATATGAACACTTTAGCTCTCTACAAATCTCCTCTCTTCCCTCTTTGTCTTTCTCTCCGTCCATTAATGTCCGTCTGTGTCCCCCTTGCCTCCTTCGCAGGTTCGTAAGATGCAGTGGCCCGGCGGTGTCCGTCAGATCCCTTCCTCAATCTGCAGTCATACCTGTCAGGCCGGCGAGCGCAAGAAGATTGTGAAGGGTATGCCTTGCTGTTGGCACTGTGAGCGCTGCGATGGCTATCAGTACCAGGCAGACACCTACACGTGTAAGATGTGTCGCTTTGATTTACGGCCCAACGTGAATCACACCGGCTGTGTTCCAATCCCCATTGTTAAGCTGGAGTGGAGCTCTCCATGGGCAGTCTTTCCCGTGCTTATTGCTGTCTTTGGCATCATGGCCACCGTGTTCGTGGTGGTCACGTTCGTCCGCTACAACGACACCCCCATTGTGAAAGCATCAGGCCGAGAGCTGAGCTACGTGCTGCTAACTGGCATCTTCCTCTGTTATGCCACAACATTCCTGATGATTTCTACCCCTGATGTAGGAATTTGCTCCCTCCGGAGGATCTTCTTGGGTCTGGGCATGAGCATTAGTTACGCCGCCCTGCTCACCAAAACCAATCGTATTTACCGCATCTTTGAGCAGGGTTCCATGTCTGTCAGTGCACCCAGGTTAATTTCTCCAGCCTCCCAGCTGGCCATCACGTTCACCCTGGCCTCAGTGCAGCTGCTTGGGGTGTGCATCTGGTTTGGCGTGGACCCCTCCAAGGCCATTATTGACTACGAGGACCAGAGGACCTCTAACCCGGTGATGTCTCGCGGTGTGCTGAAGTGTGACATCTCTGATCTGTCTCTCATCTGCCTGCTGGGCTACAGCATGCTGCTCATGGTCACCTGTACGGTCTACGCCATAAAAACCAGAGGGGTGCCGGAGACATTCAATGAAGCCAAACCCATTGGTTTTACCATGTACACCACCTGCATTATTTGGCTGGCATTCATCCCAATCTTCTTCGGCACTTCACAGTCCACGGAAAAGGTAAGCTTACGACTATTCCTGTAGTTTTTTTTCTAACTCATAGAAGTACTTTAAAGAGTTTTTAGAAATCATCAGAGGCACACAAAAGCTTATTTAATACCAAACCTATTAGGTTTTATATTTCTATGTCAAATTCTTTCTTTGCTTACTGCTTCTTCTTGGTTTGTTCACAAGAATGTTTGGATCATTAATGCAGGAGAGTGCAGGTGCAGATAAAGAAGAAATACACAACGTCATTGGTGGAAAGTAATTAAGTACATCTACTCAAGTACTGCACTAAAGTACAATGTTGAGGTACATGCATTTTCCATTTAGTGCTTCTTTACTTGACTACATTTCAGAGAACAGTGTACTTTTAATTCCACTACATTTCTCTGACATCTATAATTACTAGTTACTTTGCATAAAAAACACGATCAACAAGTAAATTATGAAGCATTGTCAAAGATAGAACCAGTACTCACATCCTTGTTTTATTTGCTGCTTTCCTCTTGACCCGTCACATTTGTCTTATGACCTCTTGTGGGGGTCTTACACTACAGATTGGGAACTGTTGGATTAAACTACCCAACAGTATATTAGGCACTTATAATTAGGTCAGCTACATGTTTACATCCTGATGCATAAATATAAATGATCTAATAATAGAATATATAATATACCTTTGTCAGGGGCTATTTGGTATTGTATAAATGAGTGTTTTTACTTTAATACTCAGTACATTAACTAGTAGTAAGTACATCCTGCTGTTAATACTTCTGTACTTGTACTTATACCACAATTTGAAAATACTCCATGATTTAAAGTTAGTAGTTCTTCCACTACTGCACATCAGTCAACTTCTTTTTTCATCAGCAATGTTTACATTTGTCTTTCAGTCCCAGGCAGACCTCCAATGTTCTTTTTCTTATTTCTTATTACTCCACTCTGCCTTTGTTTAATGACAAGAGCAATGGCACAGGATGTCATGCAGAAGCCTCGTGTTTCAAATGTACTGACAACATACCGAATGTGGACACAGAGTTTTATAAGTGCATTCTCTAATCATGGCATGCAAGCCTATGACTCACGTATACGTGATGTCTATATGCCAGAGTGCATTAGAGACCCCTGAGCTGTCGACACAAAGACAAGCTCACACTCGTATTCCCGTGTCAAATCGATGTGCCTGACCTCCTGAACCGTGGAACCTGGATCACATCCAGTAGGAGCTCGGGGGAGGCTACAGGTCAAGTGGGATCCAAAAGAGGCATGACAATGGAGGCTGGGCTTGGAACTCCCATTCAGTGGAGACAGTCTGGATATGGAGTCAAAGGGGTAAAAACAATGACAGTAGAGATGTGTAGATCCAGTTGAAAGAGGTATTTTGGCAGAGCAACAAAACGGGCTCAGTAGCTACAAGAGGACAGCGGTGAGGGGAAAATCCTCAAACTGGCACGGACACTATCAGTGGTGCCAGCATGGGTCTGACAGATGCAACAAATTAATCCTTACCCCTTCCCTTTAGGGATTAAAGCACACAATGCATCAAAACGCTGGCCTTGAAAACTGGCTGTGATGGTTACCTTTGTGGGAAAGAGCTCGAGAGAGAGAGAGGGTGATTGTGCGCATTGTGTCACGCTCAGCATCCCAAAAATAATTTCCACTGTATGGTCTACGACTGCATTGCAGGAAATCTGCATATGACTGCAGCCAATTGAATTACATTAATAATGTAGTGTGTGACCAGCAGCACAATGACTTATTTTCATATGCTGCATGTTGTGTTAAAACCACAGAGTTCAAACTACTGTGAATCTGCATATTGGCCTTCTCTTACCCCATAAATCTCCTGCTGTTAACACTAAAACTGAGCAACAGCAGCAACATGTTGAAAACAATGAAAGACCTGCTGCGCTCACCAGATGCAGCTTGTTACGCTGCATTTGCTGAAATATATCAAGGAAGATGTAGTGAAATGTCAACCGCAGCTTCGTCGCCAAACAGTCTTGATCAGCACACACAGTCCAAGTTCAGAGTGCACGTTATTTTTGAATGCGACTGTTGCACATCTTAAGCCGGATGTCAACAGCAGCCGTGGATATCAGCGAGTTCTTTGTTTAATCATTCCATCTCCTCTCTCTGAAGATGAAAGAGAATTATACAATCACAGAGAGGGAACAGCTTTTTGGAGGATGAGGTAATCCATTAGCTAGCATGGCTTTGAATAGTAAAATAGAAGTGAAAAAAAACAATTGAAGGGTATGTGAAGTCCTACTTTTTGTTTGTTCTTCTTCTACTTACAAACCCTGAGAAACTTCTCTCACCCTGCTTAATTAAATATAAGGCACTCCAAAAGATATTGTTCCCTCATTAATAATTATTTCCTGTCGAAGGCTGAACAAACAATGTCTAGGAGATAGTTTTACTTTTATCATTTGGAAAAGTTCTACCATTGCCCTCAGCGTTGTTAAGGTAAGACATGAAATGGAAGACAAAACGGAAATCTTGCTGCAGGGAAATGTCCTACATTTCTTCCTCTCCTCATTTGAGAGAGAATAATCATATTTAATATATAACCAAAAGGGCTCTTGGAGTGTAGAGTTGGAAAAACTTAATTTAATTCACAGTCTAATATGGTTTCGTCTAGTCAGACCATGCAGCAAGTTACTTTGCTATTGAAGACTGTCCTCGCAAGAAAACACACCCTCAATCCCTACAAATCAATTTATGTTTATGTTGAAGTGACAGCCAAGCAAAGAAGGAAGCATTGTGACGATAGCGTGCTCTTTGTTTCCTATATCCAACTTCCCTCTGCTTTTAACCATGACCATAATTGTTATAACCCAGTGGTTGTTTTTGTAACCATGTCGAGAAAGTAGGAATTTCAACACAAACCATAATGACCATAAAAGAGACAGTGGTGGTGTAAGGTAACTAAGTTTATTCATGTACTGTACTTAAGTACAATTTTGAGGTACTTTTATGGTACTTCATACTTCTACCCCACTGCATTTATTTTAAAGATTTAGTTAGTTACTAATACGATTTAGATAATTGTATTATGATTATGATATATTATTACTGGTTGAAGGCACTCTCAACCTTCAAGTAGAGAGTTATTATGAATATGTAATACCTTGATCAGCTGCAATGTTAATACTTTAATAATTACAATCCAGTAATACAATACATATTATTCTGAAACTGGCCATTGTGCTAAATGAATACTTTTTTTTTCTTACTTGTAACGATAATTTGATGCTATATCTTGTGTACTTTTACTTAAGTATTATTTTGAATGCAGGACTTGAATGCAGTATTTTTACACTGCAGTATTGCTCACTACTTTCTCTCACATAGAAGATCTGAGTGCTTCTTCCACCACTGAAAACTGATTTATTTTTCCGCGTGAAGCAAAGAGCAAATAGTGTCATCGTGGGGATAGATCAGAAAACATATATATGTCATATAAATATGTAAAAACAACGTATTTTGTTATTTAATTTGGAGGACTCATTGCCTTTTACTGCCTAACAAAAAAGTAGCCAGTTTTGCTGTGATAGGCTTCATGTAAAAACAACAACAACCTGAGACTGATTCGCTGAGCGGTTACATAAAAAATGTTCTTATTTAAGGAATTAACATGTCAAAGCAAACACACCTCATAATCATTTTACTGTAAATGGCAGGCCGCACAAAGCCTCACAGCCCACTTTGACACGTCGTTCAGAGCAATTAAATGCTCCACTTCCTCCGGGTCTTGATTTACCTTATCGAGCCGCCTATGTGCTCATCACCACTTTACAGCGGGTCTCTGCCTCAGCATTACAAGCACACTAGTCATTTATTTGTCATCTGGTGCCAGGATAGATGTAACAAATGCCATGGGAGGCTTTCTCTATCATTCAAACGGGGGACATCTGGTCTATCTGTGGAGCGTGATCACCGAGCGGTTGTGCTAGCATCAGGAATAGATGTGACACCTGCTTACCTGGAGAAACGGTCTAAATCAGCGGCTGCCTCAAAGGACAGGAGACAGGTGGAGAGGCGACGGACAATAGCGTGCATGGGAATGAGGCTTCGGCACAATAGGCTCAGTTCAAATGCAATCAGCCCACACAAAGAGGTCTTGCCGTTATCGTGCATGAATGGACCGATGAATTGAGTGGTTTTGTTTATTTCTCTATGACGTCTCCGTCACACTATTGGCATTGTCAACTCGACCGCAACAAAAAACTGCTGTTACTGCACTAGTCAGACAAAGGAGTGGGAGTTGCAGTGAGTTCAACAGGACCAGATGTCAGACAGACGTGATCTTCCCCGCTACCTGTAACCACCTCCCCCCGGTCCCTTTCCATTTCTCTCTGTTTCTCTCTTTTCAGTACAAATGTAAACAGCATTATTCACAGCAATGTCCCGCAGGCCCAATAATACATAATGAAGATTGATGCTTCAGAGCAGAGGGAGCTCAGCAACATCTCGGACCTCAGAGAGCAGTTGTTACGTTCATTAGGCCTACAGCAGAGCAGCCCTCTGGGTCGTGGCCTGTTGACCCCTGGGAGTTTCCAATAATAATAACAACAGGCTGTGAAGCTAATCAAGGCCGGAGAATTGTGATCTTTATAAATGACATTTTCCCATGAAGCTATATTGTTGTGTCCCCTAAGGCTTCTATTTGTTTATTAGCTTAATTAGAGTGCAATTATTGTGAAATCTCATGGAGCAAGCGCCTCTGCTGAACGTTTTCATCGCGTGCTGAGAAATAAGGCAGTTGCTGAATGTAGAGAGTAGTTTTGCATCCTGCAGCAGAAGCTCTCGAGAGTCACTGGTCGAAAATAGAATCTGTTTACATTCATTAACCCTCAAATTAATCTTACGTTATCAGCTGACACTGCCTTTCTCCCTCAGTTGTGTCGCGCTCTCTGTAGGCAGCGATGTGGGATATCATCAACTCCTCTCATCATATATGTAATGATAGATCCCCATTGTTTTCCTCCGCGTCTAGTTCAGTCATTAATGCTGCCATACACTGCTGCTCCTATGTTATGTTCTGCCTCGGGCAAGATCTGCTGATTGCAACGCGATGAGTGTGTGAGTGTATACAACAGCTCGCTTTGAGGAGTCTGGTCCGTGCACGTCGGGTGCATCGAAATCAGGAGGAAACAAATGACTAGATTGGAAACGGGCAATGAAGTAAAATGAACTGTAGCTCCGTGAAGCACTGCATTAGGGGGGCGGGGGGGTCTGATTGAATGACAATGTGGTCAAATGTGTGTTGTGTTTTGAGCTAAACTAATTAATTAGCGAGGCCGATATATCAGCCAAGATTAGTTTGTATCAGATCTATTGTATCGCCACATACAGTATGTCCTGTGATGAATTACCAAGAAATTTTGTACAAGAATGCCAAAGATATGTTTTAGATTATTTAGAAACAATGTCGCCATCGCATAGTTTGTTCACTTAAATATCACACTCTTAGACATAATCCTTTATTAACTGATTTAAAGTATCTTACAGAAAAGTGTTTGTTTACGTTATTTGTGTGTGTAAAGAATGAATGAATATCAACGAATATATCATTATCTGATTTTTGTAAATAAATACCAACACTAGCATTAAACCTTCCACTAATAACAGGGTTTTTATTTATGTGTGAAGAGTATATCTAATCGAACGTGTACCAGTTGATTGTATTGAACTACATTTAGATTGTTTTAGTTGATTTTATATTATTTTCTTAGTAAAGTTAGTTTTGTCTGGCTGGTTTTTATACTCTTGTTCCTGATGAAACAATATTCAATTTTAAGCAAAACTAAAACAATTTTTCAGTAATGCTTTAGTCAAATAACTGAAATTAATCAGCAACTGTTATTTTTTGTAAAAGTGTGTTTTATATAAAGTATCTTTGAGTTTTGGACTATTGGTTGGATAAAAAAAAGTATCTCTTTGTTTAGTAGACAATAGATTGACAAAATATCATCAAATCATCAATCTGTCAGATTGATGATTTGATGATGAAGTCGTTGTTAGTTTTGTTAGTTTTAGCCTGTACCTTTTTTATAGTTGGAATGCTAAATATACATCAATGTGAACAAATGTTGCTTGCATTTTATTGAATTATGAGTATTTTTTATTTTTTAAATATCTTTCAAATTAGGGTCAAAGGTGTTATATACAAGATTTGGAGCATTTAGATTGCCTTTCAACCAATCTCAACATTGCGACGGCTGAGCCTGTGGTACGCACTCAACAGCGATAGCTGTGATAAAAGCTCGCCCGACAATTTCAACAGATCAGGGAGAAGCTCGGATTACAACACACACAGAGAGAACGACTCAGATAGACATTACTCCACTATACTGTATCTTTACATCGAAAATAGTTGTTTGCTGCTGTATTATTGCTCTGAATATTGCACATTAAATTAACTCCAATATGTTTTTCATTCTTCCCTCATTATCCTACAGTTTACACTAAGTGACTACGAGAATGTCTCTTATTGTTGGTTGAAAGGTGGCAGAGAATTTGTTTTTCTCTGTTTTTATTCCAGCAGCAGCTTGGGTTCAACAGTCTGTCCCTGAGGCAGCAGTGAACTACGCCTAGAGAGGGTTTACTGGTTCACACTCCCTACAGCTGGGAGGGGACCACTGCAGCTGTCCCTCCATCATACAGCCCCCATCCTTCCATCCTCGTCTCCAGCCAGCAGTCCCACATGGACTGGCTGAGATGAGTTGCAGCCATTCTTGGGGGAAAGCACGACAGAGAGCCACAAATAATAAAAACAAACAAACAAGATATTCAAGTAGAGGTCACATCTGGGGAGCTAAATGTTACTCTGCTTTGATGGAAAACCAGCAAGGACCTACTGGGGGTGGGGTGGGTGGGGGTCACTCAGTGGCTGATGAAACCTCCACCGCTAAAAAGGAAGAGGTACTACCCTAGAATAATTAAAGTCTTTAAATGGGAGCAGCATTTGAGTTGCATCATATATCATGGCCCCCGAAAATGTTTGATGCTGATCTGCTGGCACGCATTGAGATCATGTATTGGAATACTTTAGTCAGCGGTGGTTTAATTACAGTTGTAAATCAGTTTGCGCAGCAGTGTTTCATATTGAAAATCTGCTTTGTCCTTCGTTCCTTCAGAGAAATAACATTCCCTTATGGGAATTGTTTTTGATTTGAAGAAATACATTTCTGTTGCTGTACTATTGAATAAACTGCCTTTAGAAGACAGGAACTGAGCGTGTGCCTTATTAAAAGCCTTTATGTGTCATAAACAAACAAAAACAGCTTCCGCTTGAGGCAGAGTAAGAATCTAAAGTGGAAAGAAAATAGTAGTGATAGATTATGTTGTTTACAAGAGCAACAGATGCAGACCAGATGCTGGAACGTCAAGCTTTTGGATTGGAAGTGGACATTTTTTTTCTTCTTTTCAGACATACAAGCAAGATAAACTAACTACGTTTAAACTTCAATTATCAATTTCACAATTTTGTGCTGTTTACTGAAAGGCAAACCATTTATCTGCACAATAGTCGAATATAAACAGCCTGTCGTGTTTTCATATGAGAATTCTTTTTTCCTGAGATGATGACGCTGACTGCTGCCAGCTCCTGCACTCGTTAAAATGAATATACTATAACATTGTGTTGTAGCCCTTTAAGTCCTTATAACATAAATATACTCTGAATACGGATCACATGGCAGGAAGTAGAAGGTTCAGGTTCAGTTGTGCATTATCACTTTCTTATTAGATGGTCAGCACACAGCAGTATTTCCCAAATCCCACGCAGTGTTCGGATACATAGCCACGAGACATTTGCCTCAGATGTTACAGTATTTAGCCACAAAAAATAATAATGTATTGAAAAGTAAAATACTAGATCATTTTTTAGGCTGTTGATCTGCCCTTTTGTGAAGGTATTGCCTTGAAAGGTCTGTCTTTGCTGCATCTTTCATTATCACTCCATGTCAAGCTCAGGACAACAGGATACTGATTTTGAACTAAACATCGTCATAAGTATTGATCGTCATCACCCACTTAAGCTACGCAATCTGCTTATTCTGTGTTGCTTTTTGTTGCATTTGCGCAATGTTGTCCAAATGGGAAGAACGGGAAAACCTCCCATTGCAAAGTCACACTTTAAATATATATACCCTTAATTTGATTATTTTGTTGTTCTACATATTTGTAGCAGTTTATAAACAAGTGTGAGCACATACAAACAAATACTTCATTTTAAATTAGCTGATTTGAATCTATTGGTCTTCATATTGGATTTTATTTTAACGTCGCTGCTAGCTGTTTGCTGACACTGTAGTTCTTTTCATCCATTGGGAGGAATCGTAGCTTTCTTCCCACTCGCTCGCTCATAATTACGGTCAATGGGATACCATTACTGTGACAAGGTAGCAAACATTAAAAAGACAAAAATACTGAGTTTGACAGAACTACTGTCAACGTTTGCATTGAAGTCTGCAGTATCATTAAACTGTAACTTGTGTACCATTAACTTTCAAAGTAATTCTTCTCATATGACCTGTCCTGCAGTGACAACATAGTATAATGTATAGAAATGACACAAGCTTTCCTTCTTCTTCAGTGCTTCCCTGACGATGACTCATTCATTTGCTGCAGCTTTGCAAACAATTAAAATGGAATGAGCGAGAACGTTACTGATCGTTATCCTCCCCCGTGATTCAGAGGATTTGGCCATGTGTAAAATTTTCACAAGCTTGTATCTTTTTTATTGGCTTGCTTGTTGTGAGTCAGAATAGGATCCAATCGACTGCTGTTATCAGATGTGTATTCAGGTTGACGTTATGGCCATATTAAAACTAGTATGGCAGAAAATTAAACAGTGGCCTTGGCTGTTTCAGTATGCGCCGTAAAAGCAGATGAGATGCTGATTTAAAACTAGTTTTATAACTTCACCAGCAGTAAATAGTTTTGAAAGCCTCTATCGGACACAATAGAAAGTACTTCCACAACAGCTTGGCCAACTAACGGGTCATTGGATGATCTAATTAGAACGATGCACAGCAGATGTCACTTGTACCGTACAGGTCACTACCCATATAGAAAAATTGTCCAACTCCAGTGCCAAAGAAGGGCTAAACTCTTTGTGTTTTGCATGTTTGTTGTTTGCCTCTTGCAGCTGTACATCCAAACAACCACACTGACCATCTCTGTGAGCCTGAGCGCCTCGGTGTCCCTTGGGTTGCTCTACATGCCCAAGGTCTACGTGGTTCTCTTCCACCCTGAGCAGAATGTGCCCAAGCGCACTCGCAGCCTGAAGGCTGTGGTTACCGCCGCCACCATGTCCAACAAGTTCAACCCCAAGGCCGGACTCAGACCCAACGGAGAAGCCAAGACCGAGCTGTGTGAAAGCCTCGAAACACAAAGTAAGTACAGAAATGCAAATGAGGAAGCCTCTGGCTGACAACCCACTGTTCCGTCATTTCTCAGGCATGTTTTGTCCTTCAGTGTGTGTAGATGATACGCAATAGATGCAGAGATATGAAGCAGAGTAAACCAAGAATTACATGGCATGTTATTTAACACCTCATTGAATCCGGTAACCACTGATGTTTTATTACATATTACTGAACTGCAGAACACATTCTGCAGTTCAGTAATAGATTAATTCTACTTCAGTAGAACCTTAATTGTCATTTTCTTTTCATCATTTCATTGAATTTAGCGGCTACACCTGAAATCTAACATCACATGCTAAAAAGGTACCTTACTTTTTTTGGCTATTGCTCTCTGTATTTACACTTCTAGTACTGAAACAATTAGTTGATTACTTGATCAGTCAGAGAACAACTTTGACAATTGAATAGTTGTTTAAGTCACATGTTTCAAACTCTAATCACTGTGTTCTCTCCTGGTGCTGTTAGTCACAGATAAAGTGTTAATAAATCCAGTGATAACGTACATTTATAAAATGTCAGAAGACAGTGAAAAATGACTGTTGTATTTTCCCAGAGCTTAATGTGACCTATTCAACTAGCTTGTTTTTCTTTGACCAGCAGTCAAAACCTTATATATGTATTCAGTTTTCTATCAGATGTTACAAAGAAAAGCATAAAGTCCTCACATTTAAGCAGCTCAAACAAGCTGAAAAATGACTAAAACAATGAATCTATTATCCAAACAATAACCCTTTAAATTACTGGCTATCAATTTATCAATTAATCAGCAAAATCATTTCAGCTGTAGAGTTGCAGCTAAATGTAAATAAAGAGAAAATCAAATACGTATTAATCAAACATCTAACTATCCTTTCTGAAGCAGCTGGATAATGACTTCTTAATCGTTCATGTCTGTCAACAGAGACGCTTTCTCTGCATCTGGATTAACAGGGAAATTGAGCCTTTTGTCACACATTGTAAAGCTGGGTTCAGTCCTTACCTTTCAACAGTAGTGAGAAATGTTTCCCCTCACAGGAGAACAAAAGAGCTGACAGCCTATGTACCGTTAACACAGAAATGAATACAAACACTGTGACAATGCACTGTAGTAACAATGGCATACTGTGGTGAGGCCCATCAGGATAGATACATGTAAACACACATTGCAACATTAATTCCCATCTTGCTTCAAGTTTCTGTGGAGGGTTAATAGGGCCTTTTTGTACAATAAGTCAGAAGGCAAAAGCACAGAATAGATAGCAAGCAGCCATTTATCCTGATGGGGTTACCGTTTACAGGCGCTGTACAGTCCATGGCTATTTGAATAAGCACCATTTGTCATTGTCATCGCCACCGTGGATGTATCGCTTGATGAAATTGAAAAATTCCTGTCTGGGCCAGCTCCCACAACTGCCGTTATTCGGCGGCGATATGTCGGGATATATCTGCTCCACCTCAGCAAATCAGCTAACACAGTCTGGAGAGACGACTGGAAAGTTGAAGCCTGATAGCTGAAGGGAAAGGAGGTGTGATGGGGGACAGTTGGCTACACTGAAACCCCCCATCTGCTAGTTAATATAGGCATGTATGTATTCAGGGACAAAAACATACCTAGAGAGTTGAGGGATTCACGCTACACTGCAGCATGGGGACCAAAAGAAGCAACTGGACACATTTTCTGCCATTATTTGACATTTCATCTTACACTTGTGCATCAGGAAAGCAAGGCTAAACAAATCACCCACATGCGCTTCATTAATCTTCCTCATTAATATTACAGTAGTACAATAGTTATCCTTGACATTTGAATCTCAATATACCCTCTTATTCCTCTTCTTCTCTTTCAGCTTTCCCTACAAAGCAAACCTACATCAGCTACAGCAACCATACAATCTAATGGACACATGTAGTCATCATAATTTCCTCATCGACGGAGAAAAACATGCAGTGGAGTTTGACACAGCCGGCATTAAAAAAATGGATGTGTCACATGAACGGCTGGAGATCATAGAAGTGTTGCCCAAAGACGTGACGTGGCGAGGAGAGAGACCACAGGGATGGACAAAACAGGGGACCAGAACAGATAACGGTACAATTGCCTGTCTGCCTCACAAGAATAACAGAAAAAAAAGAAAAAGTTAAAAATACTTGCATGGCAGAGGCCGATGGATGGAGCTTTCCTTTTGAGTGTTTACATTTCAGCTATGCCCTCTTTCAAAAAACGTCTCCGTCATCGTGAGCAGTGCTGACTGAAACAGAACTAAAATCAAGAATATGTTCAGGTGTTCTCAATGTCGTCTGCCAGTTCTGAAAACTGTAATTAATCGAAAAACCCTCAAGGCATCACAAGGGATTAATCAACAATCAACACCAAAAAGGCATGAACACATTGTCCATGGATTTCTGAAGAGGGTAGGAGGCTTGTGTTTTGTTTTTATTTCTAAATGTATTCCGGTCTCATGAGTCAAAACGACTGGAAACGGTGATCATCTCAACAATGCAACAAATCTGTGCCAGACTATATTTTTTTGTTCCTCTTTCAGGTTTCCACTGAGTCAATAAGGACATATGAGATGGTCTCTGCCAATTTTGAGCATGCCAGTTTCAACATCCTGTGTTGTGTTGTTAAAAAAAAAGATAAAAGGAAAAAAAATCAATGAAAAAAAACCGATATCTTTGGAATGCGTTTAAACTCTGTTGCAGCGTTGTTAACAATTGTTTGGGCCCGAGCCTACCGTACGTTTAAAAACTGTTCTCAAATGGTGAAGGTCTAGTGAGTGATTATTTATCTGTGCTTAAGTGAGGCCATGATTTGTATTACCAGCTAGCCGAAGGCTGCCACTGCCCTCCACATACCTGTATGTGCTTTGAAACAGTGGCTCGTGGTTAAAATCAAACGGTATTTTATCCAGGAGATGTTACTGTAAGCTGTCGTCCAGGATGACCCTCCCATCACTGCCACCAGCTTCTCTCTTGGTCACACGTAGTGTGAGGGTAAAGCTTAGCTGAAGAGATCCATTAGGAGGGGAATTAAGAGGAAGTATGCCCTTGAGAGGATTGTGCAATATGACCTGAAGGTGATATCCATAATGGACCAGCTACTGAGAAAATTCATTACTACACGTCCTCCTCAGGCACTCTCATGATAAGGGGGAGGTGTTGGGAAGGTGTAAGGCTTTTCAACAAATGAAAATCTAATTGCAAAAGTATAAAATATCTCCATCAATCACCCTCAGCTCGCTGAACAGATGAATAGTTGGCTTTGTAAAGTATAAAGCCCTCTAACGTCTGGGGGGGAAAACATCGTGGGGTCATTTGTGTTGTGAATTCAATGCTGCTCTTCATACCGCCCTCTGTATTACTTTCAACACCATTTGTGTTGCAGAATAAAATGTGAGTGCTGATCAAATTAAATGGCAAGTTAATGTATGTTATTAAATAGATTGATGATGTCTGCTTTATGTCCTGACATATCCTACAATTGGGGTAAATGTACAAAAAGATACAGTGCCTGGCTATCTGAATATGTATTTGTAAAACCCCATGAAAACTAATGAAGTGTGTGAAGCATGTTTAGTTTTTTTTATACAAAATTTTATTTCTATTAAAAATGTTTCGAAACTTCAACATCCGTTTTCAGGCTCTTTTTCTAGCTGTTAGTTTGATCATTAATCCGACCCTGAGCGTTAAAAATGAAGAGAGGAACACTTTCGTTTGCTATCAATACATGCAATGTAACATGTATAATCTTAAACTACAGGATTGGCTGGTTTGTGTGTGTGTGTGTGTGTTTGTGTCTTTTTTTCCTGATGTAAACTAATAATACAGATTATAAAAAACAGTTTGTCAGCCCTGAAGAAAAAAAGAATGGCTGCCAACCTCTGAATAATATGTTGCCACTACTGCTCTGATAATAGCAGCAGAAAGACGGAGAAATGGTGGAGGGAAACGTGGAATTATACCAAATGAATGGTTTGCTTCTACTTGAAACTAAAGGCCTCTGCATTCAGCAAGCTCTCAGGAGCCATCAAGCTTCTCCACGCCTCCCTGATACTGTGAGCCCGCTATACAAAAGGCCGGGCGATAACAACTGTTGCTTAGCAAGGTTGCCAAGTGTATATACTGAGTATATACAGTATTATCTTCAGAGACAGAATAAGATGCAATGTTTAGTCTCATGAGACTACAGGGTTTTGCATGACACACACTGTTGTTGTTTTTCTTTCTTTTTAAGAAACATCTTGGGCCACTCAGGCAGAAAAAAACAAAGAACAAAGTTCTAAAAGGTGGTAGCTATTTAATTAAAAGTATGTAAATGATCTGGTACTAAAAGCCTAGGAAATACTAGGTATCACATTTCAATTTTGACGGTGATGGTATTTGATGACAATTTTGAAAATTTTGTATAAAGTCCCGTCTTCATATTTGTGCACCAAGAATGACTTTCTAATGCACCACTCGCACTTGTGGAAGGAAGAAAAATACTATACAGTTTTTGGCTGACTGCCAAATAAACATCTCTATACAGTATGAGGGACACTGCGGGGCACTAATGTGGGATACCAACTAAATAAATGAGTAAATCAATATATTATTAATAAATAACACTTGGCTATGGCCAATATAAGCTGCAAATAACCACTATGTTGTTCCTCGAGACCCACAGACTATAATAATCAGTCCCACATGAATCTTACAGACACGATTATTGGGAAACAAAATTAATACATTTGCCTCCGGAAGCAAACTACAGATTAAAAAAGACATGTTAAGGAGAATGAAACGTATTTTATCGACTAAATCTACTTAACAAAAAGCATATACTGTTTGTAGCTCAAACAATACACTTCCACTTCAGAATAAAATACTTTATTGACTAATGTAACCAATGAGACGGCTATAACATAAACAGTAATACATAAATCTAAAGTGTCATAAGATTATACGACTCCAATGTTTCCCGTATGAGTGAGACAACAGTAAACAACCCAACATAAGGAGAAGCATACTGATGGTCACTGATGGTGTACGTGTGAAGCTACTACTAATGAGATCATTCTGACCCATCCTGTGGCTTCTTCACAGTGAAGCTAAAGCTGGCAACATGTTACTGTGAATAAGCTGCAGGGAGGAGTGGAGTTTATTCAACAGTAAAGAGAAGGGAGCATAATGAATCAGTAAAACTACAGTATGTGCTGTTTTGTTAGAAAGCCAAACTCAAACCAACAATGTTGGGAGCATGACATGAGTTTTGCAATTCTTGATATGTTAACCTTTTTTTATTTTATTTCTTTCTCCATCCATTGTTATGCGTCAGTGACCAACAGAACCGATTTGACCGTGCAGCTTTTGTACACAATTTCAGCAAACATTAAATGTACTTTATGGCGTTTTTGAAGACTAGTAGGTATATAGAGCAATGTTTGTATGAGTGGGTCCGTGTTGACACCAGTCAAAGCACAGTCCTGCACACAAATATACGAGGTGTATTTAAATTTGTCCTAATATCAGATGTGAAGATGTTTTACAATTAAATTATTAAACAAATGTATTTGACCTCAATGATACACAGATCTCTATGAATTGATGGATTTGAAAGAAAGCAGGAGAAAAAATACGTTTTAATTATGGCAGCACCAGAATTGTCACCGTACACATCGGCTCCAGTCAGCAGAGTCAAATATACTTAAAGAATATTTCGGACAACTTGAGACGTTGTTTGGCAGAGTAATGGCAAAATACATTGAGAAACACACTTCTGTGGGCAGTTACACTGACACCACTGCTGAGAGGTCCAATGACACTGAGAGATTTAGACACAAGCTAAAGACTTCTACACCAGAAACTACAACACCTAATGGTCTCATCATGTGAAAGCAGACAACAAAATACAGCAAAAAAGAAAGAAGAGTTGGACCCCTCCTCATCGTTATGTGATCACAGGGACAATGACAGCTCCTTCAGATTAGTGAAGCAAATTGATTGCTTCTACAGTCCGTCAGCGGGAAATATTAACATGAGCATACGTAACCCACAAAAACCAATCACACGAGGACTGTATCACAGCGCAATAATTAATCCTGTCATACGTTCTTGAAATGGTCTTGGCACACTTTCCTCGGACAATTGGATCGTGTCAAAGTCTTTCAAAAGTGGAAACGGAAACTGTTTTCCCCCCACAAGAAACCTTCAAGAAAGTAATTTGGTAAAAGTGTTAATTTGGTCATTAAATAATTTAATTTTGTAATAATTTTTTGTGACCAGAATATATGTTTGCATTGTTCCCCCTTTGACATTCATTATAGAGGAGATCATATACAGGACTTGTTTATGACATACAGTACTGTACCAGGACCTTTTTTTGTGACATACTAAAATAAAACAATTTTATAAAATTTTGCATTGAGACTTTTTGACAACATACTATACTCTGAATTTTGTTGTATTCTCTAGTGTGACTTGTTTTAACATTCTCTAGTATTACTATTTTTAAATACTACTTTTCTTACGTACTACACTATTACTGTTTTATGATATACTCTATGATTTTTTTTTACATACTATTATACTGATCTTGGGTTTTTCTTTAGTCTGTTTCCTGTTTTATTTTGTTCCCTGCCTCTTGTGTCCTGTGTTTGTTTGACTTCCGTTTTTGTGGTTTTTCCTCCTTTTTGCTGTGCATCACCTGTGTTGTAATAGTCTGCCTTGCTCTGTTCCCTCTGTTTTTTCCAGCCAACAGTTTTCAGCCTGCCCTCATGTCTGCCCACCTGTGTCCTGTTGTCTGATTAGTTTCTTGTGTATTTATGGTCTTTTCTCTTTTGGATGTTGGTTCGTCTTTCTTTGCTTTGTTGCAGCTTGGAATTTCTATTACCTGCTTGTTACTTGCCTGTCATCTGGACTCTCATTCTGTAGGCCCGTTTTTTTCATTAAAGTGTCTTAATGCATCTGCCTGCCTCTGAGTCTGCATTTGGGCCCTTCCCCCTGCTCCCTGGATCTGCAACCCATGACAACAATATGATGAGTGTTTATGACATTCGACAAATGACCTTTTAATGAGACACTATACTTTTATAACGCATTAACGTCAGTGTGTTTGAGTTGTGAGGAGCTACTTGCTTTGTGAGACCAGACAGTAGGCATACACCAAGCTGTCAACATGTTGACAGTGTTTTTGTAATAACTCTCACTGCCAGAAGGGATAGACACAGGTCCCCACTGCATGTTTAACCACATTAATAAAGAATAATAATTAAATATACCCTTTTTATTTTACATACTATACCATAACCTTTATGACACTTTACCATTTACTTCTGTTATAGTATGCTAGGCCTTTGTATGACTTTTTGTCATAAATATATATATTGTTTATGACTTACTAAGGTAATCACATTTATTATAAATGTATACAAATTATGTTCCCACAGAAAAATGGAAAATGGTGTGAATCCTCCCTCCCATCTGTCTAATTGACCCTCCCGCCCCTCTCCAGCTGCCTGAGTTCTTAGTTTTTATTATTATTTCCCTTCTCCTTTTGTGTTTGGTTCCCCCCCTACTAAATACCGATATGGGACATATTGAGGGTTACTGTATAGCCTAATTTGAACATTAAATGTACGTGTTAACCTATATGGACAAGTGGGCTACATTGGAAGATCATATGTAGGGTTATACATAAAATTGTGTATCATATTAGTATATATGACTGCTTGTGTCATTTATAGCATTCTTGAAAATCAAGAAAACTGAATATATACATACAGTATATATATTTACATCTATAATCCTCACACAACATAGCTATACAATCTACAATATGTCTATAGTTGTGATTTAAATATTTGCGTTGCTATAGCCAGAGCTTCTCATGCATGCCTGCCCCATAATCTTTCCATTGAACATTCTAAAGAAAGATATAAAATGATGAAAGCCAATGGTTCATTTGATCAGGCAGATATTTCCTCCTCATTACTAACTCATGTCTTTTGCTGCTTTTATTTCTCACAAAAGAAAAGGTTTTTTGATGACTTGATGAGGCAAGAGAGGAATCATCATCATCATTAAAATGCAGGGAATACTTACATCCATTGTACCTGATAAGGTTACTTGAATACAGAAGGTTTCAACCCTGGATATATGTGTACTGTTATCATTTGTGAATAAACACACAGTGCTTGGAGTCAATATAATTTAACATTTTCTTGCCAATAAAACCAATGGATAACTTCATTTAGCAACTGATGATTATAATTACATGAAGTGGGTGGAATATTATTCCAAACTCCAATTTATGTTCTATTTCATTAATCATAATACACTGTGTCTGATTGCTATGGAGTCAAAGCAAGCCAATGTTGAGGCAATCCTCATGAAAGTATGAATAGCTTAGCAGATAAAACGTGTATTCAGTCCTTTTTCCTTGTGCACCTGAGGATAATACAATACAACTGCCCTCAGATGACAGAATGAGCACAGGACCACATTTGTCTAGAATTGAGCACCAATAATATAGAGCAGAATTAAGAGAAGCAATGCAGTGATGTTTCCCTCAAGGGTCCTTTGACTGAGCTCTCTCAGCTGTGCACTATTGCTATTCTATACCATCATAAACAGAACACTGACGGGGC